CCTCACGTCTGGATTACTGCAATGCACTCTACATGGGGCTACCCTTGCCCGGAAACTACAACTGGTTCAAAATATGGCAGCCAGGTACATCCAGGAGGGAGCACATAACACTGGTGCTTAAATCCCTCCACTGGCTGCCGATTAGTTTCCAGGCACAGTACAAGGTGTTGGTGTTAACCTTTAAAGCCCTACATGGTTTGGGTCCTCCTTATCTTAGGGACCACCTCTCCCCGTACGATCCCCCCCACGCCCTCCAGTCCTCTGGGAGAAATCTGTTACCGCCAATAAAAACTAGGCTGTCTCAGACCTCCCAGAGGGCCTTTTCTGCAACTGCTCCCAGACTATGGAATGACCTGCCGGACGAGATCCGTCTTATTACTACTCTTGCTGCTTTTAAAAAAGCAGTAAAGACGGATCACTTCTGGCAGGCCTTCCCAGAATAATTCCCTGTCTCCAGGGGAGATGGTTCCTATTGTTCCTTTTTATTATGGTTGCCCTATTGTTTTGTTGTTTTTATTGCATTATGGCATTTTAATTTCCTTATAGTTTAATCTTGTTTTAATGGGATGGGAGGGGTAGATTCTGGGATGTGGGAATGTTTTTAACTCTGTATGTTTTAAAATGCTGTAACCCGCCCCAACTGCTGAGCAGAGGGGCGGGCTATAAATAAATAAATGAATTATTATTATTATTATTATTATTATTATTATTATTATTATTATTATTATTATTATTATATGATAGGGTCACCTTAGGGTTGCCATAAATCAGAAATGACTCGAAGGCACAAAACAACAACATTCTGCTTCCCTTCCTGATGTAGTTGTTACTGTATTAAGCCAACTTATGGCAAACTTATTGTAGGGTTTTCTTGGCAAGATTTATGCAAATGAGATTTGGCTTCCTCTAAGGTTGAGAATGGGACTTGCCCAAGAACATTCTGTGGATTTCCATGGCTAAGCAAGGATTAGAACCCCGATCTCAAGAGTCCTAATCCAGCAATCAAAGACCTCACTTGCTCAGAAAAATTTCAGAGAACAAACCTGTATGAACCCACAGGTCTAACAATGCTAGGGGCTCATCTCCTTTAAAAAATTCCCAACCGAGTACATAAGTCCTAGGTTTAAAACAAATATTGCAATGTTCTTTCACTTGCTCATAACCCTACAAAATATTTGACAAGAGCTGTTTACATTTTTTAATTCCTCTAAGCATTGAATAACTATTTTGCCATGTTCTTCTTACAAATAAGTATCAAAATGGCTTTAAATAAAACTCCCTTTTCTACAAACCTAGATTACTGGAGGGTCTAGAAATTTCTCTGCATTTTGAATCCCTTACAAATCTGGATGTTTCTAATTTATTTTCAGCTTGAAAAAACCCAGCAAACATCCCTTTATCATCATATGCACCAAGAAGCACTTTCAGCTGGTATGTGGGGCTCTCTATACAGATAGATACGCACTAATTTGCCAAGGAGGGGGGATATGTTGCCATTGAAAGTAAACTGTAACACATGTTTATATTTCCTTCTTGATATTTAAATAATAAAAAATTCTCCTCAAAATCTATTTTGAAAATTTGTTTTCCTACTAATTTTTAGAGATAACTCCTCTGACATTTGCATTCACTGTAGCTGAAGCAGTTGACGAAATTACTCAATCCTAGATTATTACTGGTTTCTGTAATACACTATACCACTGTAGGAACAATTGTATTCATGTTTAAGTTCCCATTCAATTCCAACTTTAGTTCCAAACATGCTTCGCTGAAGCACCAAGCTCTATTCTCCAGGTTTCATCTAGTTGCAAAGAAAAATCCTGTGACATTGTTAAAATAATCAAATGCATGTACCTGAAACACATTTATTACTCCTTGCTATTTTTGATGCAGTTTCATTGCTTTTCTTTACTACTTGTAGTCAATGTTCCTGGTACCAAATGTGGTAGGTATGGCGCTTTCTTTCCCTGTCCACTGCAGCCCCATCTTCCTGCAAACTGGCCCTAGAGGGTCTCCAAAGCCCTGCAGAGCCAGGTGTGTGGGGCACATAGGGGGCTTCAGTAGGTAGGAGGGAATCATACACTCCTCATTCTGCTAAAGATTGCCCTTTCACCAGCAGAAATCTGGCACTGGGTACTGTCCAGTATCTTTTGAATATTTAAATGAACTACTGTGGACTTGTAGGTTTTTCTGTCATGCCAATCTTACATTTGAGTAAAATCATGCTTTATACAGTAATACAGAAGGTGGCACACTGACCGATTTTCCTCAGATTTGCATCCCACTTAGGAAATATCAGTTACAACTATTCCATTACCAATGAAACATATAGACATCATATAAAAACTACTAAAAATAAGTTTAAGAATAACTTAAATAAAAGAATAAAATAATTTTATCTTCCTAACAGACATATTTTTGCATCCAGCAGAACACACTTACTGAGGATATTCAGACACAGTACTGAAACATGAGCAAGTCTTGTGCTTGCACTTTTTCTTATTCCCACATATTCAGTGATTAGAAACATATTCAGTGATTAGAAACATCTGACCACAGTTTTCAACCAAGCATGGTCTCTGCAGTCATGTCCCAACACTTCATACCATTGTCTACTGTAATTTACAATGATAGTTTCTAGGCAACTATAGTTTCCACAAAGCACAGTTTGCTGGGTTTGAACTAAACAGTGGACTATACTTTGTCAAGAACTGTGACTGCAGATTTCTGGTTTCCATATGCAAGGGTGAAAGAGTTTGCATGAGCATAAGTTTCATGCTCAGAACTCCAAACCATAATTTGGTGTTGCATCTGAACAGTCCATTATTTACCTCAAAAATAATAAAGACTATAGAGCAGCCCAAAAGTGCAAACACCCCAGGATTTCTTCCCAGCTTCCTTCTTAGAAACTGCTCCTGCAAAGCTAAACATTGCTCTTTAAACACAAAAAGCAACCATAAATCATGTTCCTTCTTAAATTGCTTATAGCAAGTCACCAGACTAATTTTGAACACAGGTATATTGAACGCTGTTGAGGGGCACTATGAGGATAACTTCTGAAAAGAAAAAATTAACTGTGAGCATGCCCAGTAACCACATCTCGACTGTAGCTATGTAAGCAAGCTATGAGACCAACACATCTTAGCTTCCTAGGAAATAAGCTGTAATAGTGATGAATTACACGTTAATAGGCTACACAGAATATTTACTAGACATTTCAGACTATAAAGCTGTACAGATATTTATATTTCTGAAGAAGGGAGACTTCCAGAGCACCTCTCCATATTCCTCGTGTATATCTCCACCTTCTGGAATTGCAACTTGTTTTGTTTTAAACATTCCCTGCTTAACTTTATATACCGTACTTTATTTCCATTCACATAGAAAACTGTGAATTATTCCTTTATAAAATTTATCTGGATACCAGCCAGGAACATTGGAAGTGAAGCCAGGACACTGTAAACAAACTATCCTCTGAAATAAGAAAACCACCCATTATAGAGGATACTAAACTCCTAAATTTATAAAGTTTAAAACTGAACCATTCAGAGCTATTAGGCGTTGGTGATACTGAAATGAGACATATCTTTTAATGAGAAAATTTCTGTATTTATACAGAGATTGTTACATGGCCCTGATGAAAGAATTTAATAAAGAATACTAGTTGGGAAGAAAGTTCTTAAATACTTTCTCAGAACAGCTTTGTTTTGTGTCTCTCATAGATGCCTCACAGTGCAGAACTGGTACACGTGATTTATCACTGATTTGCTAAGCCTGTGCCTGACCAACCCTAGAGATGATGTGGGAGAGACTAGATGACCTCTCAAAAAGTATATAAAATGTGTAATTAGGATATAAGCAAGAAAAGCTATAATTAAATGACAAACTGACCTTTTTACAACCTTTAAGGCAAACCCATGCAATGGAAACAAACAATGAAAAAACTCACCTGTAGTATAATCTTTTAAACGCAAGTTCTTCATGGGGGTACCAGCACTTGCTTGGAAAGCGTTGAGAATCTGCAGAAGCAAATTCCAAACTTACATTATAAACAGTAACACCACAAACATAAAGATCATTCTCTTTGGCCTAAATGCAAATACTAACATCTACTCAGTGAAAATGGAAATAAAAATCCAAAGCCAGAGGGAAGGGAGGGGAAGGTCTTTAGCATGCAGATGACAAATTGATCTCAGGATCATGAGAGAGGAATACTTTTTCCTTCTTTAAAGTGCTACCACACTTTGGAGAGTTTTTATTTCCTGCCTCAAAAGACAAGCATGAATTTAAAGGCTTCTAATGATTTGGGGACTTTCAGTTCCAGACTCCAACAAAGACTGAAATATACACAAGCCATTTTCTTTCCTAAGTTTTTATTTATCTATTATGCAGTAATTTTATTATATTCTTGTTGTCTTTCCCATAAAACAGTGCTCAAGGTGGCTAGCAAGCATTACTACAAATAAAAAAATAAAACCATTATCATCACCTCTCAGTAAGCATCAAAATTATTACAAAGGCCAGAATAAAAAAGGCTATCTTCAAAGCCCTCCTATAAGTTTTGATTGCAACTGAGAGTACATTCTACAATTCAAATTTTTTGTACCAATGCACTGATGCTTAAAAAAAATTAGATTTAGTGTGCTCGTCCAATGCTGA